TTTGCCGTGCCAGTGGGGTGCAGCAGGATGTCCTGCCATGACTTGGAAGACCCAGCTTTCAACGCTTCCCTGCAGAGAAGCAAGACAGCAAGAGCCAGCATGAGGCCAGGGAGTGGATGGAAGAAGAGCAGTGATGGTATCTCAGCATTGCAAGGGTGGAAGATGCTCTTCCTCAGGGCAACATGAACCTGGGAACTGCAACTGAAGCCCCCAGGTGTCCTGCACAAGGGACCCCCCAACACATCTCATGCATTTCTTAACCCCCAGGGAGTCCATAGGAGCTAAATGTGCTTTAGTGACCTCTTGCCTGGGTGGGAGCTTATGACAGGGTCAATAGCAGTACCATGGTGAGGACCACTCACCCCACCCCAGTGCTTCCATGTATTCCATCCATCCATCCATCCATCCATCCATCCATCCATCCATCCATCCATCCATCCACCCAACCATCTGCCAAGCTATTTCTCCAGCCATCTCCACAACCACTCTTCCTTCCTTCCTTCCTTCCTTCCTTCCTTCCTTCCTTCCTTCCTTCCTTCCTTCCTTCCTTCCTTCCTTCCTTCCTTCCTTCCTTCCCTCCTTCCCTCCTTCCCTCCTTCCCTCCTTCCCTCCTTCCCTCCTTCCTTCCTTCCTTCCTTCCTTCCCTCCTTCCCTCCTTCCCTCCTTCCCTCCTTCCCTCCTTCCTTCCCTCCTTCCTTCCCTCCTTCCTTACTTCCCTCCTTACTTCCCTCCTTACTTCCTTCCCCCCTTCCCTCCTTCCCTCCTTCCCCCCTTCCCTCCTTCCCTCCTTCCCTCCTTCCTTCCCTCCCCACACCATCAGCTTCCACACACACGCCTGCCCCTGTCCTGACCCTCCTCTGTCCCTACCTGAGTTTGGCTCCAGCTTCTTTGGACTGGTAGATGTCACAGGTGTGCAGAGGACCCTTGTGGTTGGCTGCCTGGCACAGAGCCTTGTGAAACTGGAACTGGAGGATGAAGCTCACAAAGTACCTGCCAAGGAAACCCATGAAGGTGAGATCTGGGGACAAAGGGCAGCAGACAAGTCCTAGGGTGCAGAAGAAGGCACCAGACCACCTGTCAGGTCCCCAGCACTTGTGCTCCCAAGCGTTGGGTGCTCTCTGTCTTGAGCAGGAGCAACACAGGTCCCTGCCCACAGAGTTGAGCTCCCCCCTGCTCCCCAACCTGCAGCCCCTCACCAGCACCTCCTCTACCTGATGTAAGGGGTGTTCCCAGGGATGTGGTACTTGGCTCCAGGGTCAAAGTTGCTTTCATTTCTTGGGACCGGAGCACAGATACCCTGGTACTTGGTTCTGCAGAGAACAGAGAACAAGAGCATGAGCTGGAAAGAGGGAGGCAGAAGAACCAAGTCAGGAAATGGGAAGAGAAAGCTTAAAGAATCTACACAGAGTGTACTCCCATCCGTCCACCCAACTACTCATCTACCCATCCACCCCACCCATCTATCCATCATTTTTCAGCCATCTCCATGGCCCCTTCCCTTCCCTTCCCTTCCCTTCCCTTCCCTTCCCTTCCCTTCCCTTCCCTTCCCTTCCCTT